GATTATCGGGACAGTGCCTAGCACGTTTCGATCATCAGGCTATGTTCTTTAACTCAGTTTAATTTATAATTCAATCTCTATTCTGAGTCTTCATCTGAATCTGTTCTTTTCTGATTTCAATTAACTATTAAATTGCATCTCATGATAAATAGTGTCTAAACAACAAATATCCCCAACAATCCGTGAATCTAATTGTGCTATTTACAATAGTATCATGATGTGACTCCTGTATTTGGAATAGGTCGGATCAACCTAAAGCTGACTTCGGATGAGATATTGATCCTGCAGGATGTCCATCATGTACCAGACATTAGGAGAAATTTGATCAGTGGATCTTTGTTAGTGCAACAAGACTATAAACTTGTTTTTGAATCAAATAAAGTTGTAATAACTAAGGGATTAAATTTTATTGGAAAAGGATTTTTATGTGATGATCTCTTTAAATTGAATGTTAAGAATTCCACCCTTGCATCTCCAATGGGTTTGAATATTGAACCTTCTATCACTTGGCATCAAAGATTAGGACATGTGAATTATAATTCAATTAAAAGATTGATGCATCTCAATATAATTCCAAAGCTTAATATAAAAGATAATGGAAAATGTGGAATATGTGTAGAAGCTAAACTCCTAAGAAACCCTTCAAAACTATTGATAGAGATTCTGAGATATTAGAACTCATCCATAGTGATGTCTGTGATTATGGAAGAACATCTAGAGGAGGTAATAAATACTTTGTAACTTTTTTAGACGATTGTTCAAAATATTGTTATCTCTACTTAATTAAGACCAAAGATGAAGTGATAAACAAATTCAAAATATATAAAATAGAAGTTGAAAATCAGTTGGATAGGAAAATTAAAATACTTAGATCAAATAGAGGTGGTGAGTACACTTCTAATGAACTAAGACAATTTTGTGAAGAGAATGGAATCATTCATGAAATAACTGCACCATATACGCCTCAGTCTAATGGAGTAGCTGAAAGAAAAAATAGAACACTAATGGACATGGTAAACTCAATGTTGATTAATTCTGGTGTTCCAGAGAACTTGTGGGGAGAAGCCCTCATGACTCATTGCCATATACTAAATAGAATTCAATTCAAGAATTCTGATAAAACCTCTTACATAATTTGGAAGAATAGAAGCCCTAATTTAGATCATCTGAAAGTATGGGGGTGCTTAGCAAATATTAAGATACCTGAGAATAAGAGAAAGAAGATTGGCCCAAAGACTGTAGATGGAATCTTTATTGGTTATGCTTCTGATAGCAATGCAAAAAAAATTCTAATAATCAACTCTGATATTAATGAGATAGCTAACAACACCATTGTTGAAGCTAGGGATGTTCATTACTTTAAAAATATTTTCCCTTACAAAACCAGAGTAAGCAACTCAGACCTTAACTCTAACAATCCAGATCCTAGTTCTAATCCTATTTCTAACTGAGGTGAAACTAGTTCTAGACAAATCAGACCACTAGATACTCCAGAGGAACCCAGGAGAAGTAAGAGAACTATAATAGAAAATTTCCATGAAGATTTCTATGTATTACTTGTAGAAGACTCTCCAACCACATTTGAGGATGCAATGAAATCAATAGATGCTCCATTTTGGAAGGAAGCTATAAATAATGAGATTCAATCTATAGTTCAAAACCAGACTTGGGAACTCACTGATCTTCCTCCAGGCTATAAAACTATAGGATGTAAATGAGTATTTAAGAAGAAACTCAGACCTCATGGAACAATAGATAAGTATAAAGCTAGATTAGTAGCTAAAGGATATACCCAAAAATCTGGTATTGATTATTTTGATGTTTATTCTCCAGTAACTAGGATTACTACCATTAAAGTCCTTATAGCTCTAGTATCCATTCACAAACTGATAATACATCATATGGATGTTAAAACTGTATTTTTAAATAGAGACTTAGATGAAAAAATTTATATGGATCAACCCGAGGGATTTGTTGCTTCTGGACAAGAGAAGAAAGTATGCAAGCTTATTAGATGGATCAACCCGAGGGATTTGTTGCTTCTGGACAAGAGAAGAAAGTATGCAAGCTTATTAGATCACTAAATGGTCTCAAACAAGCTCCAAAGCAATGACACATAAAATTTGATGAGATTATACTATCTTATGGATTTGTAATTAATCAAACAGATGAGTGTGTATATCATAAAATAGATAATAATAACAAAATTGTGATATTATGCTTATATATTGATGATATTCTTATTTTGATTCTGACATACAAACCATAAATGATATCAAACACTTTTTATCACAAAAATTTGACATAAAAGATTTAGGTCAAGCTGACCTAATTCTTAACACTAAAATCTTGAAGAATGAGAATGGATATGTGCTATCACAATCACATTACATAAAGAAAATCCTCAAGAACTTTTATGATCCAAACTGTCAACCTGTTTCTACTTCATATGATCCTAATGTGCATCTAAAGAAAAATACAGGTTATCCTCAATTACAAAGAGAATATGCACAAATAATTAGACCATTAGGATTCCTGACAAACTACACCAGATCTGACATTGCATATGCAGTAAATAGACTTAGTAGATATACATCAAATCGTGATAAGAGTCACTGGGATGCTCTAGATAGAATTTTGAGATACCTGAAAGGAACTATGAATTATGGTTTACATTATAAAGGTTACTCAGATGCAAATTGGATTAGTGACTCAGTAGATGTAAAATTCACCACTAGATTTGTGTTCTTTTTAGGAGGAGGAGCTATTTCATGGAAATCTACTAAACAAACTGTAATGGCTAGAAGTACAATGGAATCAGAAATGATAGCCTTTGATACTACTAGTATAGAGGCTGAATGGTTGAAAGATTTATTAATTGAAATTCCATTAATATAAAAACCATTACCAGCTATTTCTATTCATTGTGATTGCAGGTCATCGATTGACAAATGTCTTCAAAAGAATGCAGATGTGAAAATGAATCGACACTTGAAAGTGCGACATAAATCTTTGAGATATAAGATGAAAAACATGTAATAGCCTTAGACTTTGTAAGATCAGAGAAAAATCTTGCAGATCACTTAACTAAAGGCTTATCTAGGGCATTGGTCCTAGAATCATCGATGGGGATGGGGTTAAACCCATAAGAAAAATCACTGTAGTGGCAACCCAACCTCGCAGAGGTTCAATGGGTAGAAACAAATTGGACGATTGATTAATTGTGAGGATCACTGAATTTATTTTCTCCCATCCCTAGGATGATCAGTGCTAATAAAAAGCAAGTGAAAGGTTGAGTTAAAAACTCTTAATGAATCTAAGACCTTTGAGGCATGATGCTTACTTGCTCGCATCCTTATCAGAATTTACCTATATGTGTGTAGTTGTGAGGCCGCAACTATAGAATCAGGGATGCTCCCTAGTAACACACATGAAAGATATTTGCGCAAGGCCGATAATAGCGCAATCTGCTTAGAACTCTTTAAAACTGTACTATGTGTGATTTCTGTAGAAATCCAATAAATGGGACTGGTTCAAGGCGTAGTCCACCAAGCTCTCACAAATCTATACAAATGTCACTAAGTGAAGATTCAAACCGAAAGGTACCTTCACCTATTACTTAGTATAAGGGAACCAACAATCTTTTTTTTTAAGTTCTTCTTTTACTCTTATTTCTGAATTATTTTAAGTTTCAAGTTATGTGGGGGATTGTTGGAGTTGTAACTTAAAACTTACTTTTGATGTGAGAAAGTTTAGTCCCACATTGGATGGAAGATGAGAAGGAAGGTCATTTATAAGCCTTTCCTTTCTCTCCTATGCTTAGAAGCAAAGATGGGTTATGCTATACCCCACACCACACAAGCACACGTCAAACCAAACCGGGCCAGGGTCGGGTCAGGAGGCGCGCGCCCACGACATGCGGACACAAATGCAGCTTTGGATTGAGGGGTCCTTAACCTACTACATTTTGGACTTCCTTTTTTGCAATTGGAGCGGATCTTCAGGATGAAAATGTGATGAACGTGGAGCGGATGAGCGGATCTTCAGGAGATTAATATGGTAAACCACTAGCTGATTTTCAGTAAATCTCTCAGATTGGCAACTGATTAAAGACGTGCAAGAATTGATCGGGGCTGTTAAAATTGTGGATCTAACGGCTGCTTTTAACCTCTATAAAAATCAATACCTACGAGGGCTAGAGGTACGGTATTACAATTGAGCTTCTCTTTTTCTCTTCTCTTCAAAATTCTCCTTTTGCTGTTGTTCTTGGCTGGTTCCCTGAAAGTCTACAAAGAATTAGCAAAGCCTTCTTGAAGCCCGTGCCGACGAGAAGGAGGTCGCTTGACCGAGAGTCGTCGTATCTCCGAAATCCATTGCCGTGTAGCCCTGTACGAGAGGGGGCAATTAGATTCTCGTGACAGTGCCTAGCACGCTTCGATCATCAAGCTATGTTCTTTAACTCTGTTTAATTTTTAATTCAATCTCTATTCTGAGTCTTCATCTGAATCTGTTCTTTTATGATTTCAATTAACTATTAAATTGCATCTCATGATAATTAGTGTCTAAACAGCAAATATCCCCAACACATGTATGGATTCATGTATCTATGTGTTCATATAGATCTTATTCATGGATTAGCAAAAAAAAAAGTTATTTAATAATTGTTATATTGGAACTTATTATCCACATATCACTTGGCAATGTGCGTATAGAATCATAAATTGTCCGACTAAGCGCAGGTCTATGGAAACATAGGATTTAGAGGTCTTTTCAACACAAGAAGAAACATGCATTAATAACTTTACCCTCACCAACAAATTATGAAATTCTAAAAGTATCAACATAACATGCACAGACCATTGATTTCCCTCAACAAAAGTAAAGGCCAAAAAAAGAAAGAGAATAAAGTGAACACATAGCAAGTTGCAACCCTTCATAAATCAAGAATCTGATAGTAATAAAAACATGATATAAATAATAATTTCCTTCATAGCTTGAGGCTTTAGCTCCCTTTCTTGAATTCAAAGCCTCCTTCTCCATATGACAAGCAAAGAACAAAGCTATCATGGCCTATCTAAACATATAAGCTAAAAACCTCGGCCTTATCTTCTGAACTCAATAAGAGGAACTTCATCGTTCACCGGCGGCCAACGACAACAATGAAGCCGATCGCCTCCTTTCTCCTAGCTCTCAATTTTTGCATGTATGTCATAGTTGCAGCTCTCGGAGGGTGGGCACTCAACAGAGCAATTGATTATGGCTTCATAATAGGTACATCCTTGCTCAAGTCACTTTGAGAAATAGTTATTATAATGTAAATTTAGTCCTTATTTCTCATCATAATTTAAGAGTTTTTTGGGGTAAACTGCGCTAGACCCCTAAGAACATTCAGCATTTTGCAATGAACCCTCAACTTCCGCACTAAATCCCCAATAACTTATACAGTTTGCAGAAAACCACCAATAAGTTTTTGCATTTTGTATCTAACCCACATAAATTAGAACCAATAAACAACATAAAAAGGCATTTTCAAAGTTATTGGGGAGTTTAGTATAATTTACCCAAAATATAGTAGGGACTTCCTATGACAATTATTTAGGGTTTAGTGCGATTTTGAAAGTTATTTGTGGTCTCCTACAAAACACAAAAAGTTATTGGTGTTTAGTGTAATTTATCCTTCTTTTTCTTTTAAACAATGAGAACAATTTAAGATGGAATTGAAATAATCTAGACTCATATCCTAATAAGCACTCATTTGAATTGGATTCAGAAAAGAAACGTCATACTTTTGAAATTATGGTGAAGGTTGACTGATATAATCCTGTGTTGGATTTGGATCCTCTCCGACTTGAAGGCACTGTTCCCTTTCCTCACAGCTAGCTATTGGTTAATCTACGTTACAATTCATTCCAAAATTTAGCACTTACAATAGTACTCACGCATTACGTACACTCATTTCTAGTTTTCATTCAAGAAGAATCGTAACCATCAACTGAATTATATCGCGCGCCGTGCGGAAGCGTGCTCGCAAACCAAACGATCAGCGAGCGATGAGAGAAGAACCAAACACGAGTGCAATTCCCAAAATGACGGCCAAACTCACATACAAACACAGAGATTTACGTGGTTCGGCAATTGCCTATGTCCACGGGGAGAGGATAGGAAGATTTCACTATATGGAGGAGAAACAACAGGTTACAAACTCTCAAACAACTCTCAAAATAACCAAACCAATGATCTCACACTCCCTCAACAATAATCTCCCTCTCAAAGTGCTCAAAAGAACCAATTTTCTCTGATTATCTCTTCTCCTAAACCCTAGAAAGACGTGTTTCTATTTATAACAAAATACAATCCAAAACAGGCTAGGAATCAGAAATGCGTCTGCCACACCCGGGTATGGTACGCACTACACACCTGACAACGAATTCTAGCAGACAGCTTCTGTCATACCAGGGTGTGGCATGCACTACACCTGTGGCTACTGAATTTTCACGTTTTCCAACATTTTGAACAATTCGACGCTATTTTCTACAATTATCCACCTCGGCGAAGTGTTCCCAAAACTGAGCCGACACCAACATGAGCACTAATGCGTCGTCTCATCAAAACCGGCTGCACTAATGTGGTTGCCTACGTACCCCCTCTCCTAAGGGATCAAGTCATTCGTAGTTCATCCAAACGGCTTCGATAGGCATCAACAATCACGAACGTGCAATAAGTTGCTACAATGATCGAACTTATTGCTCAGAACCACCTTCGTGAGCATATCCGCTGGATTATCTTTTGTGTGAATCTTCATAAGCTCCACATCCCCATCTTCAAGAACATCCCAAACGAAATGATAACGAACGTTGATATGCTTCATTCTCGCATGAAAGACCTGATTCTTCACCAAATAAATAGCATTCATGCTATCATAATAAATGTTGACGGATCGCTGCGAAATACCAAGATCCTCCAAAAGTCCTCGAAGCCAAATCACCTCCTTAAAAGCCTCCCTAATCGCCATATACTCTACCTCCATCGTCGACAAAGCCACCATAGACTGCAAGGTATATCTCCAACACACTGGCGCACGGGTCAAAGTGAACACACACCCCGTCGTCGACCGACGTTTATCCAAATCTCTATCGTAGTCCGAATCTATGAATCCAAACACATAGCTGCCCACCGCTAGTGTCCCGCTTAAAAACTAAACCAATATTGAGAGTACCTTGAATGTACCTTAAAATCTATCTCACGACACCCCAATGACCCAGACCCGGGTCGTGCATGTATCTCGAAACCATGCTCACTACCTGTGATAAATTCGGTCTCGTACAAACCATGGCGTACATAAAACTTCCCAATGCGCTTGCATATGGATTCTTTAATATCGACTCTCTATATTCAACTATTTTCGATGAAAGGTCAGGTGAAAGCTTCAAATGAGCTCCTAATGGTACACTAACTAGCTTCGTCTCCATATTCACATTAAACCACTATAGCACCTTCTTCAAATAAGTCACCTGTGTCAAATAAATTCTACCCCTATCTCTGTCTCTATCGATCTCCATCTCCAAAATGCACTTCGCTTCATCCTAATCCTTCATCTCGAACTTTTCTGAAAGTTGTACATCAACTCATCTATAACGAATCTGAAAATAAAAGCAACCAACATTTCATCGACATAAAACAACAAATAAATATACGTACCTCCTTGCAACTTGCGATAGTACACGTAAGGATTAAATTGGCTCCTAATGTACGAATGACCGAGCATAAACCCATCGAATCGCCTATATCACTATCGCGGAGATTGCTTCAATCCGTGTAGCAATTTCTTTAATCTGCAAACTAATTTTTCCTTCCCTACAGATCGAAACCCTAATAACTGAGTCATATAGATTTCCTCATCAATATCACCATGAAGAAATACCATTTTCATATTTAACTGATCTAATTCCAAACCATATTGTGCCACCAAAGCTAGCAAGATCTGAATCGAAGAGTGCTTTACCACCGGAGAAATACCTCATTGTAATCAATATATGCCTTCTTACTATGCATAGTTCTTTACTACCAACCTAGCTTTGAACCTCACCGGAGTGTCTTCAGTGCCCTCCTTCTTCGTATACACCCATTTACAACAAATAGCCTTCCGCCCCTTTGGAAGCTCAACAAGCTCCCATATGTCGCTCTTCTGAAGAGATTCTATCTCCTCCCGCGTAGCTTCCTGCCACAAATCAGCCTCTGAACTCCGCTCAGCCTCTCTGAATGTAGTAGGAACCATCTCATCGACACTCTCCACCAGAAGCGCATAAGCAATAATTGTATTCGTATACCTAGCTGGCAACCGTATGTTTATCCTGGGTCTCCAAACCGCAATCAAATCCTGAACCTAAGCCGTCGGTCCTTGATTCTGCCCTGTTGAACATGTATCCTCCAAATCATTACTGTGCTCGCTTGGCGTCGCCTCAGTCGGCACTCTAATAGATACGATACCGTCTGGACACTGTGGAGCTGCATCAATCTTCACCACCTGCGATATCTCCTCTGTCGGGATGCTCTCCACCTGATGAGAGCTGAGAAGATTCAAGATCGAAGCCTCATTGAAAGTGACATCTCTACTCAGCATAATCTTCTTATCAACTATATCCCATAGGGGTTTTCCCCTTAATCGCAGATGAATACAACTTATTAATGAGGTGGCTCACATATGAAAGTGCATCATCCCAAAAGATCTTCTCCAAACACTTTCCAATAACAAACATCGGACCTTCCCCAGTAAAGACCGATTCAATCTCTTTGCTACCCCATTTTGTTACGGTGAGTGACTAACTGTGAAGTGTCTCTCTATGCCCTCGTTCTACATAGCTGTTGAAAGGGGTCTGAAGTGTACTTCCCACCGTTATCAGATCTCAACGTCATGATCTTTCTCTCAGTCCGCAGTTCTAATCTCCTCTTCCACTCCACAAATAACTATAGGACTTCAGTCTTATGTTTCATGGTGTACACCCAACAACATCAAGTATAGTAATCCACAAATATGATGAACCAATGTTGACCACCAAGTGATGTCATCTTAGTGGGACCCTAAATATCTATGTGTACGTAGTCCAAAATGCCCGTCATCCTATGTATAGCTATCCCGAACTTTACCTTTATCTTCTTGCCAAGAACACAATGCTCGTAGAATTCAATCTTCCCCTCTTGGCTTCCTTCAATAGGTCCTGCTTACACAGCGCCTGCAGTGACTTTTTACATGTGTGCCTCAATCTGTAGTGCCAAAGTCTGCTTACGTTCGCCTCTGAAATAGCTGAAGCTACCTGGTCAATCTCGGTGCTCCCCTTCAGATAATAAAGATTTCTACTATTAACTCCCTTCATCACTACCAAAAATCCCTTAGTAACTTTTGCTACAGCATTCTCAAAAGTCACCTTGACTCCCTTTGCCTCCAAAGCTCCAACGGAAATAAGATTTTTCTTCAACTGAGGAACAAATATCACTTCATTCAGCTCTCGAAAAACTCCATCGTGCATCCGAATCCTGATGATACCTATCCCATAAATGCCACAGGATTGATCATTTTCCATGACTACCACACCCCATCGAGCTTCTCGAAAGATGCAAACCAATCTCGCCAGAGAGTCACATGATAAGTAGCACCCGAATCTAGCATCCAATCCGATGCATCCGCATGGTTAACCTCTGGAGTAATCAATAGAGAAAAGCATGAATTATCAGAATCATTACCACTCTTAGCAATATTCACCTCATTGGCCTTCGGGCCCTTCTTCTTGATATTCTCCTTCTCTCTGAACTTCGGACAATCTCTCTTCCAATGCCTTGTTCTTTGAAAAAATTACACTAGTTCTTCACTAATTAGTAGTGGCCCCTTGACTTTGAACTGCTTCGATTACCACCTCTCGGATAGGGACTCCTTCCTCTCGTCGACAAGGCCTCTCCTGAAGTGCTAGCTCTAGAAGTCTCTTTGTCCTTCCTCCTCAGATTATAATTCGTCAATGCATTAGTCACTTCGCTATAGGTGATAGAAAATCTACCGTTTAACAAAATGAGCACGAAGGTATCATACTCCTCATCGGGTAAGGAGCCTAACAAAATAATCACCTTCTACTTATCCGTTATCTTCTCATCAACCTTCGCTAAGTCGGACCACAACTTTATGTAGTTGTTCACATGATCCACAAGTGAGGTACCCCTGGACATCTGGAATCTAAACTATCTTTAAAGTAAGTGCAAACAGTTCTCAACACTCTTCGTAAGGT